CTTCCTTCTTGCCTTTAGAAAAGAAAGCATCATGTCTCTGTCGTGGCATCTTTCTTATGAACTGAGATAAATTGTAATGAGAAAGTCCATGTTTAGAAGCCTTCCATATACGCAACTTATAAATAATAATAATAAATAAATAAAATAACAAAAATAACAAAAATTCTTATGATGAGGATGCGTGCCAATCTTAAGGGCAATCGATGGCAGTAGGCAAATTGAGTGGCAGATGGATGGATAATTGGTGTTGGTGATGGTGATGTGGACCACCATTGGTTGATGGTGAGAGGTGCATGAGCAGTCATAATAAGGAAAAGGTTCATGTGAAATTACATTACATTGAATTTAAATTAGGGTTAATCATTTTATTAATCCTTGAATTTAGACTCAATTTGCATTTTAGTCCCTCAATTTTCAAAATCTTTTCCGTGATCCTTTAACTTCACTTTCGTTAGGACAAATGGTCATGCCGTCAATTTTGTTAAAATTTTCTATTAAATGCAGGAGTAAAACGGTACTTTTATATTAAAACAAAAAAAAAAGAATAAAAAATCATATCTTTAAAATAACAATAAAAGAAAATCAAATAAAAAACCAACAAAAAAAAATTTAAAGTTCGGGGGGTGTAGAAATCAGGATAGAGGGGTAGAGAGAGAGTTTAATTTTAATTTTTTATTCATATTTTAATCAATTTAATACAAAAATATCATTTTGCCCCTGCATTTAATAGAAAAGTTAACAAAATTGACGGTATGACCATTTGTCTTAATAAAACTGAAGTTGAAGGATCACATGAACAATTTTGGAAATTGAGGAGCTCAAATGCAAATCGAGTCTAAGTTCAAGGACTAATACAATGACTAACCCTTAAAATTACTATAAGTTCAAAAGAAAACACAAATTCGATTAGAATTCCCATGACTTTGAATCTAAAGGAGTTCAGAAGAAAAAATGTTTTAAAACCCAACTTTTTGTTCGAACTTCGTTTTTCCTCTTCTCTTGATCACATAAAGGATATTGGAAGGCCCATAGAGGATCCACTTGCTATGAATGAGAGAATTGAGAAAAAAGGGAAATATAAATTTGAGAAGAGAGTTGGGTTTGTAGTATCCTCCATTAGAATTTCTAGGTACCCCTTTTCTATTGTGACCTTCGTTAAATACTAAGTGCCCTAAACTATTCTCAGTAGTGGAGCCATGTGTAGCAAAAGTATATATTTATTGAAGGTGATGAATTGAAATTCGAAAACTGTAGGGGAGCATTATTATTTGTTATCACACATAATTTTTGTGTGTGTTAAAGTTTGGAAATGAAAAGGGAGATGTGCTATTAGGGTTCGAATCTGAGATCATATGTAGACAAATACTTACTATTTTAAGCCATGAGGCCATCGGCTTATCACACACACTTTAAATGTATATATCATGTTCTTCACCCAAAAACAGTTGTATAGAAAACAAGAAAAGATTCGAAAGTTGTAAGCAAAAAACCAAAGTGAAAGCAATGAGATCATTTTTGAAAATGGTAGGAGCTTCATTTGTTTGTTGACTTCCTTCATCTCACCCTCATGGGTAGTATATAAGTACTGAGGAGATAGTATCACAAGAAATGAGTGAAGCCTGCTCTGGTCGTAGCCCTAATTATCAAACAGCCAAACATCCATCCCATGTCCAAAAGGGCATGATGAGGGACTATAGTCCAGTTCTATGCCCACTCTAATACATGCCTATAATCACAGTGTATACCACCTACTACACTAAGTATATCATCATATAGTACACCATCTTTTTTGTGGTCGGCGGTTTTATTTTAGGTGTTTTAGGATAATGTTCTACTGTTAGACTTATATTGTCATATAAATGTTTATATTGACACACGTATTATGAATATGAACCACACATTCAGACAAAAGCAAGAGTCAACGATATCTTATATTGTGAGTTAGCGTGACATGAAGAGTATGTATTGACATCATCTATCCTTCTTAGCATTTTTGTGAAAAGAAAAGAAAAACATTTCATTTTATCCACCGAACCTATTTAGCTCCTTGTAGGTAGCAAATCATAAGGCTTGTGACAAAAAATGTGAAAATTTGGTCCCCAATTGTATTATGGGGCTGGCAAGTTAAGTGTCCAACCAGCTAGATTTAAGGGACCATGTGAAGTGGCTGAGCTGAATTTGGACAAAATACGATTGCCACTACCATCATAATGATGATATTACCATCCAATGGCAATGGGTGAGAGAGAGAGAGAGAGATGGTGGTGATGATGATGGTGAAGAAGAAGATGAAGCCAAAATGGGGTTCATTTTCCAAATAAATGAGTATGGCTTTGGCACTCAATTACACCAAGAAAAGAGACAAAAGGAGAGGACCTAACAACATTGACTACTCCCTCTTCATCCTCCATACTCAGCATCCCTTCCAATAAACTACTCATTTCCCTTGGCTTCTCGCAAGGCCCTACCCCAAAATGCCCACGTGAATTGCACGTGACATTACATGTGAACCTTTTTCCTTCATAAAGTTTAGACAAACTAACCTAATCAAAATAAATCATAACACATATAATTTTTTTATACAAACGATAATTAATCTAGATTACGGAGAGGAGGATTCGAACTCAAGTGCAAAATAAAAAGTGGGGAGCACATCTGCTCTAACCAACTTGGGTAATCGTAACATATATACATATTCATATCGGGAGTCTTGTTACGACTATCTAACAAAATATTTGCACAATTGAATTGTTAATTTCAACTATTCGTACTTATCTTTCAAGAAAAAGAACCGTACATCTAGTAAATTAATATGGTACCTCAGCCAAGACTAACGAGGATAGAGAATGTTCTTGGTTGGTAAGCATCTTTAAATTGCGCTTAGAGGAAATGATTACATCTATAAGTTCTGAGTTTACACGTTATGAATCTTGACCATATGACATATATAAACGTTTTCTCATGTAAAAGCAAAAGACGGTTCCAAAGGGTTTGCGTCTACTTTTCAAACACGAGCCCTATAAAAACAGATTGCTTAAGATAAGAACCAACTAAAAGTTCAAAAACAAACACCAACTTTTTGACAATATGCCCCATTTTGCCTCCATATATCTTCTCCAGCTAATTATCTGTCATAATTTCACGTGGAATTTCAGAATCAACCCCATTCATATAATCCTCACACCCCATTAGCCATTGACTTAATTAAAGTAATTGTTTATTAACTAATTATTTATTATATTTAAAACAAAATCCGTTTAGCTTTAAGAAATATGCATCCAAATGTTTTCTGAGTATTCAAACTTGATTTGTACAGTAATGATTTGGTTGATTGATTGCAGCACATGATCATGGAAATAAGTCATCTTCCACATTGAGGGCTCTGCAGAAAAGAAACCCAACCCTACTAATTGAAATGAAACTCAAAGGGGGGAAGTTCTAAAATTCAACTCTACCAAGTTGGGATATTCAGTCGCTTTCCATGTGCCGCAACAAAACCCAAGTGCGACTGCCCCCTCTCAACACTCAATCTGCCTTATTAGTTAGGGGGGACTGTATGTTATATGAAATTAATCATAGCATTTTCTTGTTGCCGACAAATAACAGTTTGACACACACGGCAACAATTTCCTCTTGTGTTTTTGACGCGTTCGTTAAGTTATATGTGGAAAAGATGCCAAAAGGAATAAGGGAACCCTCTAATATTTATTTATTTTTCTAGCTTCTCCTCTGCAATTAATTCCATCCCCTACTGGCCTTTGTAATGATGACCCTTTGCGCCATCATTGCTATGAAAAGCCCTCTCTCTCTCTCTCTCTCTCTCTCTCTCTCTCTCTCTCTCCAAGGGGGACAGATACAAACACAAAACAATAGTTATGTGGCTCACCTTTTCCTCCTGGGTTCTGCCAAGTGACCTCTGCTATTTAAAGTCCAATAACATTTTTCACAACCCACATTTTTGTTACCTTTCTCTTCTCCAGGTTTACACACATTCAACTCTCTCTCTCTCTCTCTCTCTCTGAGAGAAAAGCAGCAACTGAATTGTAGAGGAAAACAATGTGTATGAACTCCTCAGAAATGACTCCATGCAGTCCTCAATACTCTGCTTTTCGCCTTCGAGGGCCATCAAACCAACATAACTTTCGAGTTCACCGCTTAATCAACAGGTCTTGTTCCTTCACAGTCTATATATCTCGCACCCTCCATTTATCTATATATCTATCAATCAATCAATCAATCAATCTATCTATCTATCTATCTATCTATCTATATCTCTCTGTGTTTGTCTTCTTCGGTTTTTTACTTTTTATCTAAGAGATTTGTTATATGTATGCTAACAGGAAGAGGAAAACAGCAAAAGAACCAAAAGGGGCAGAGATAAGAGGGGCAAAGGTAGAGATGGAAATCAAGAACCTGAAGCTATACATGGAGAACCAGAGCATTATAGAAGAGAACAACAAGCTGAGGAGAAAAGCACTTCTTCTTGTCCAAGAGAACCAAGCCTTGTTTTCACAGCTCCAAGAGAAGAAGCTCTCTCCCAACAAATGAAACAGTACCAATATATGCATGCAGCAGCACCATGAAACTGAAACCTCATTACCCTAATGTAAACATATATTTAATTTAATGCTTTGCAATTTTCATATAATTATTATTAGGAAAAAAAGTTAACAAGGAGTAGTTCTACTAGGGGCCCCTCTTAGCCTTGATTTGTTCTTTCATCTCCTTGTTGGGGAAGTTCTAAATTCTAATGTCTCATCTTCCCCCCCACATCACTTAGTTTGTGGGCTAATTTTGGTTAATTATGGATGATTTACCTTTTATGTGTGTCATGTAGATAAGTATGTGCAATCCTTTTACATATTCTTCTGTAACTTCACTTTCTTTTTTTTCTTTTTTTCTTTTTGCCCTGTGTGAGAGACCAAAAAACTTGCATATCACATGTTTCATACATCTTTCTCTTCGTCTCTCTCATCACGTGACGAGAGATATATAGAGAAAGGTGTGTGAAACATGTTACATGCAAGTTTTACTCAAGTTTTACTCATGTGTGAGACAAAGGCATGTGGCAAAAGAAGATATTACCCAGATGTGTCCTCTCAGGGACAGTGTTTACTGTGAGGGTGTGTCCATGTAATGTAAAGGTTATTAAGAAGTCTTTCAGATTGAGATTCTGTGATGCATGTCTCTGTCTGTCTCCTCAAAACCCAGGTGACCCCCAAATTTGTTAAGAGTCTCAGGTCCCCCAAAAAAAAAGAAGAAAATAAATAGATAAAGAAAATCATCCCCATGTGCATAAATGTTCACATATCTTTAAACAATGCTAGGCAGATAGCCGTCCAATTTGGGGGACAAGTATATTTCATTTAATACTTTATATAAATCTCTTCTGATATTTGAAGGGTGTGTGATTTATCATGTGCCTCTATCAATCTATGCCTAGACTTTGGAATGTTCTTAACACCCCTCACATGATCATGCTTCTAATCTTACTTCTTAATGACTGCAAAAGGCTACAACCAACCACTGGCAGAAAATTGAGGAAACCCATTATTTGTATTCAAAGCTAAGTCAAAATTATGTGCAAGCAGAGGAGGCCTCTTCTCCTGAAATAAATCAAAAGGAGCAGAAAACAGAAAACAGAAAACTAGTTCATGTTCGTTAGAACTCAGATCAGGATGAAACCGAAATCGTAAGTTGCGAATCTGATCATAAACGGGTAAGTCGATTAGGCCAAGGAAGGAAGATGTTTTGATGAACAATGAATCAAAAGCCATGTGAGGGGGCTGAGATATTGAACTGATAAAAATACAAAATAACAAAATAAAAATGGTCAATTAAATAATAATTAAATAAAAAAAAGGGGTTTGCGGATATTCAGTAGTTTTCTAAATTCAGGTGTTCACTTCGTCAAAATTGGACGATCATGAAATCAGTTAACGAACTGAACTCTCATATGAGATGGCTAATCTCTTTCCCGCCATTTGGGTCACGTGGGCTGGGCTGCCACGTCACCTGAGTCTATGATGATAGTGGGAACCCAACGAAGCCCAAGGTATGATGGGCTTTGTTTGCTTATGGTTTACATATTTTGCTAAAAGATATAGTTTATTAAATAGCTGCTTCTGTTGGTCCTCACCTTTGATCTTCACTGAGACTTGATTTCATGAAGAAGAGGGTAAGATAGACATTTCAAATTTCATCCACAAGCATTATTAGAGGATTGAAAGATGAGAGATTTCTCGAAGCTTCACACTTTCAGGTCAACAAAAGTTTAAAAAAACAATCATGTGAATCTCAGAGCCTCAAGATAGGGTTACTGGCATGTGAAGGACAAAGTAACAGCTTTAACTTTATATAATCACAGGTTGAGCAAGTAATGCAACTGAGCCAAGGGTAGATGTGACAAACAAGAAGCAACACTTTTTGATAATCACATTCAAACATGCTGAAGTTATTGAGACACAGAACCACTAGAGAAAATAGCATCCCGAAAACATCAATATATGTAAATTAAAACAGCATTTATGAATTCTAAAGGAAGTAACTCAGACAGCCAAAAGACAGAAGTCCTAAACACGAAAACTATCTAATACCGACTCACTAAGACGAAATCATCGTCATCGAGAACTTTCACATCCTTTTCTCCGACAAAATTCTCCCGCCCAATTTGCTTAACCAAATTCACAAATTCTACCCTCTTTGCCAGAGGAAGAGGTACATATGGCAGCCTGAAGACCGGCCTCACAACACCAAGTTGGGCAAGTGCTGTGTTTAAGCCAATGGGGTTTGGCTCCTGGAAAAGCCACTCAACCAGAGGCATTATCTTTGCATTAAGAGAAGGGTTCTTCCCCACAAACATCAATTCTCGCATTAAACCTGGAACCAGATTACTAGTAACAGATATAACTCCCGTAGCTCCATGGTTCCACCTAGAATCATGGCACTCATCATCATTCCCACTCCAAACCACAATTCCCTTGTCGGTATACTGATCAACACGATCATTTCCAACACACTCCTTGATACCTGCGAAGTTAGAGCTCTGAGCCAACCTGTGAATCACACGTGGCGGGATATCTTGGCCAGTTCGTGACGGCACATTGTATACAATAGTGGGTCCCATTGACATGACACTATCAAGGTGCGAAACCAATCCCTCCAAGGAGGTTTTTCCATAATAAGGATTGATGTGAAGGGCAGCATGCATTCCAACAGCAAAACCCTGTTCAGTAGCATGAATTGCTTCTCTAGTAGAATTGCTTCCAGTGTTCCCTATTACCTTAATTGATCCTCCATAACAGTTGATTGTGTGGCCAATGAGCATTATGTGTTCATCCCAGCTCATCAATTGGCCTTCACCAGTTGTGCCACCAACAATCACACCTTCGGCTCCATTTTCAATCTGCATATTAACCAAAGCATCATATGCTTCAAGGTCAAATCTGCCGTCTGGTAGATATGGGGTTTTGATGGCTGTTATCAATCTAAGTGACTTTATATCGTCCACTGATGTCCTGAAAACATAGAGCATGCTTAGCATAAAGAACAATTTGCTCAAATGGAGCATTTACACTTCTAAGGAGCTTTCACATACACATGTAGCACTTCATGCATACACAGTAGTTTTCCAAAGCACATGCTTTCTTATCAGCCCCAGTACAGAAGCAACATAACAACACTAAATAACCATCTCTAATAGTGGATAAACGTATACAGCTTGACACAACATTAAAATAGTTGTTCGAGATATTTCGTCTAGAATCAGGTAGTCATCTGGATTGCAGGGACCTAGCAATATGAATGAAGTTCATGTTGTTCCGGAGTCTAAAGGGATATCCCACTACTAAAGAACCGAGACATGAGATTTTACTGGAAAACCAAAAATACAGAGAAGCAAGGATCTATTCTCACGTAATCTATATATGTTCAACTGTGCACGCATTTTGATCTTCTAATCCTAAACAAGCTAAGAAAAAATGAAGCCACCAAACATCTTAGAACCAAATTCAATATGAAATTCATCACCCCACATAATTACACATACAAATTACCTGTTTTTCACTTCAAAACTACGCATTGGAAGATGAAAATTAGGGATTACAGCTGCTCGCGGACACTTCCATTTTGCAGTCCTACTGCTTCGAATCAATACAAAAATTAAATAAATAAATAAAACAACAAAACAATGAAATTGATAAACAAATTAATCAGTTGATGAATTTTGTACTCTGTTTTTCTTTAGCATACAGATTTAATTAATTAAAGTGTAGTCTAATTTAATAACTAAACTACAAATTTCTAATGGAGAACAAAATTAAAAGACAAATATGAGTGAATTTTAATTTTAATTAATTAAATACAAAATAAAATAAAATAATATAAGAGAATGAGATAAACCTCCTGTAGTTATCCGTAAGATGGTGACGCGGAAGCTGGAGAGCAGACTCTCTCAAGCACACACTACAGCTCTGGAGCGTAGCCATTACCAAGACACAGCGCGAACCCGATTGCGATTCTTAGAGGGACCCGACCCGAAAGAGATAGCGAATTCGAAAGCCTGAAGCTTGAAGGAGAAATGGAAGCAGTGGCAGAGTTGAAATTTCAGTGAATGCTGGTGGCGTTAGTGGAAATGGAAATAGTCATGAGAATCGTGGTGGAAGGAGTTCGGGGAAGAGAAATGCAGAGATTGTCGGAGCTCCGATTGGATTGGCGGGCCATGTAATCCGGGTACGGGTCAATAAGCGGACGACGGAGGCTGCAAGCGAGAGTGTATATCTGTTCTGTGTCACTGTGTGTGCGTTGTTTATTAGGGTTTTGTACAGTGGCGGCGAGTGGCTATGGCTGACTCGGATGCTGACACGTGTGGAATTTTTTTTTTCCCTGAGTTGTTATTATTTTGGAGATTCTTTTTAGGTTATTCGTAGCAATGGTCCCTCAATTATACTCAAAGTTACATTTTGGTTACTCAACTCAAATATTAGTTACAGAGGTCACTCAATTGGGTGTTGTGTTGCACCATTAGTCCCTACCATCAAGTTTGTGACTTTTTTTGTTTAAAATAATGACGTGACAAATATCTCTTAGATTATTGATGGGCAAATGTAACTTTTCAGTTAGGATTATTTGTAGCAATAATCCCTCAACTATACTCAGAGTTACATTGTAGTTACTCAACTTCAAAAAATGGTTATAGAGGTCACTCAATTAGGTGTTGTGTTGCACTATTAATCCCAACGGTTAGAGAGACTTGACGGTAGGGACTAATGATGCAATACAACACCCAATTGAGTGACTTCCGCAACTAATATTTGAGTTGAGTTACCAAAATGTAACTTCGAGTATAGTTGAGGGACCATTACTACAAATAACCCTTCTTTTTATGACATTTTAGTTTTTCTTTTAGAATAAGCTAAATTTGGTCCACTTTGATGTCTCTTTGTACTATTATTAGTCAATTTACAGGTTGGAAATATTGTTTTTGGTTAAGAAAATAACTTTTTTTAATGAAATAAAGTTTTTTTTGGTCAATTATGAAATAAAGTATGTGTGATAGATGTCTTGGCTACTATGGACCAAAGATGTTGATGGCTAACTACCATAGGATAAAAGTTCAATGGTTGGGATCAAATTTAGTTCAGATATTTGTGTCACAGTAGGCGATTGGATTAAGATGAATTGAATTGAGGATGAATTGAATTGAGGAAATTAGATTCCAGAATTGAATTCCTTCAAAATCAGTAATTCAATTCCTAATTTTGTGTGGGCATCACCTACTTTTTAATTCCTTGATGTTAAGTAAACGCAGGAATCCTCCATATGTGGAATTTAATTCCTGATTAGTAAACATACCATTAATATTTTGAGTATACATCTGTGTAATGTGTGTGAGTTTAGTATATTATCGTCATTCTTAATAAGAAAGATCTTCAAAAACTTAATGTTTTGATAAAATAAATTATTTGAGTTTTTTTTTTCTTCACAGAATATCCCATTTACATATTCCTAATTATAAAAAACAACTATTTACATAATTATACCAAAATGAAGTACAAAAAAAAAACATGATATGGAGCCAAACTTTTATTCAATTATTTTTCCTTTTCTTTTTATTTTGTTGTTTTGGGCCAGGGAATCCGGTCTTATTAATGCATAATAGAAACATGTTATGGGAAAAGGCGATGATAAAAGAAAAAGTTACACATTTAATAAGAGTGAAATTATTGGTCAAAGGAGCGTCAAGTCATTCCATGTGATATGCTGGCCCTTGTGGTCTCCTACTTTGCTTACATTGGCATTGCATTGCAAAATCAAACGTGGCATGGCATGTGGGTCAGTTTGGCACTTGCTGCTAATCATATGATTAGGCTCTTTTTAGGTAGTTTAGCTGAGATTTTTTTATAGTTATTTGTATTTTTTCTGGAGCATCCCCCAAAGTTGAGCCACTTTTTTGGTTTAAAGGCACCCACTCACCTTTGAAGCATTTGTATTTTTGTGTGGGAATTCCTTAAACTCGAGCCACTGCCGTTCATTCGCATGCAAGCTTTTGCATTAAAAGCAATGAAAGCGCGCGCACCCTTTCACCACGGCCTAGTTGCCATCATTTCTTATCAGGAAATGAAAAGAAAATATTTCTGCCAAATATTTTGACTGGAAGGCATTTTAAGTACCAAAATCCAAAAATCACTCAAAAACACCACAAAATTTGGACCCTCTCTCCTCAACCAAAAAAAAATTGCTCTCTCTCTCTCTCTCTCTCTCTCTCTCTCTCCCTCTTCCTCTTCCCCCTTTGTCCCTTTTTCTGTCTTCGTTCTCTCTCCTTAAGCATTTTAGATTTTTCTTATGACTTTCTCATCTTTTAAGCATTACAGATTAGTAAACAAGTCAGCCCAACTTATGAAATGGGTTGAGATGAGAGGTTAATATTATCACATCTTTCATTTCTTATCTTTTTCCTTGTACACTAAGTCACGTAATTGACTACTCTGCTTCTTAAAAGTCAAGAAGATACGTCTTGATCGATCAATAAATAAATAAAATGACATGCAAGTAATAGTATTAATCATCGCAATAAATTTCATCTCCTTCTTCCTTCTTTGCTTCGCGCTTCATCCTCTTCACATAAGCCAAAATATACACCAGTTGCCTTGACTCAACTAGTTTCAATTTTGCATTTTGTTGATTTCTTCATGTAATATCTGGACTTCGTTTGTTATTCATGAAAATTAAGTTAATTTAGTTGGTGTTTATCAATAACCATAGTATTTGTTGGATGTAAATATAATATGAGATTAGCAAAAAATAAAATGTGATACGAAGTTATAATTATTTATGTTAAAAATGTTATTTTGATATATGACCCATTTCATGCAACCCTAACACAAAAATACAATTTTTTTTAAATTTGTTTTGTGTGCTTAATGATCAAGAAAACAAAATCTATATAAGATGAGTAGGAACAGTTTTCACGAATTGAAAAAAGAAATTGTTTTCAAGAATTCAATCAAACAAGTCTTCAAACTTTTAAGATTTAGAAACAGTTTTCAAGTTAGATACCTAACAAGTTTTTGAATCTTAAAAAATGAATTTTAAAACACATTGTTTTTAAAAAAAAAATCCAAATTTTGAGTTCCATACTCTAATAGGATATCAAACACTCACTAAATTTATTTATTTATTTAGGATTAAAAAATGAACATATTGATTTGCCACTAAACAACCGACAACCAAAGTCAACTGATTGTGGAGACCACAAGTGGAGCCAAAGACTTAATGATATGTTTACTAATATGTAATTAGATTAGGAGGAATTGAATTGGGGAGGAGTTGGATTAAGGATAGTTAGAATCTAGATTCTTCTTGAAGTTATTTACTAAACCATATGGAATTTGGGGTAGCAGTGGTACTAATTTCCTACAAGTTGTTTACTAAATTCCCATTAATTGGAATTGAAACCAAATTGATTACTAAAATGCCCTTGTTGCTGAGTTAAAGTATATCACAAATTTGGAATTTAAAAAAGGGTGTTGATTTTCCCACTCCCCTTTTGTCCATTTACGCTCCATTTTGTTTTTTTATAATACTTTTTACTATAACCAAAAAAAAAAAAAAAAAGTGTAAGTATAGAATAAGCAATCTCACAGAATTATTTAGAGTCAATAAGATTTAAACTCTTAATTAAAAAAAGATAGAGAACACTTTAGATCCAGGGATTTTCCCCCGGATCTCATCGGATCTTCGGTGTTTTTTTGACTTTTGGTGAACCTATGTTGATCTACTCTTCTTTTGATTGATCTATTGTCTCAGATCTGGACTAGCTTTGGTTGTGCCTCATCTTGCGAGGCTACTCTTTGAGATGTTGCAGCTTTCATGGTAGATCCATTGCTTATTGGTGCGTTAAGGCCTTGGAGTAACTAGTTGATGATCTTTATGTCATGCCCCGAAGGAAGATTAGCGGCGGTTGGTTTTCCTTTTGCTGACGTTATTTTAGTTTTTTTTTATTTTGGTTTAGTTTGTTCAAAAAATTCCACAAACTCAATGAGTTTTCTGTGTTTTTTCTCTCATGATTCTAGAAACTTAGTTGAGTTTATTCGGTGTTCTTATTCTCTTTAAAAGAGTCATGCCGGTTAGCAGCTAGTTTTTATTTTTGAAGTCATTGGACTATATTCGGGAAATTATGGTCTTTGAAAGGGGTTTAGAAAAGTTAATTTCGAGTTTGATTCTCTCCAGATTGTTTCAGCTTTTCGACTAGCTCAGGTCACTAGGGAAGTTTTACCCATGGTTGCCATATTGTTATTGAGATGTCTCCCTTTACTGTGTCCTTTGTACTCTTTATTCTATTGATCTAATAAAATTCTATCACCTTTTATAATAATAATAATAAAGGGAGTGTAAGTGGACAAAAGATGAGGAGGAACGTACAATTTTCAACAAAGAGAGTGTAAGTAAACAAAATAGGAGTGGGAAAATCAACTCCCTTTTAAAAATTGTGTGAGGATATAATGCGTAAAAAATATGGATTCCTAATGAGTTAGTTCTCCAAAAATTATAATACCAACTCCCACTTAAGAGTCTAATTCCTCCAAAATGAGGAGTTGAATTCCTAATTTTATATAGGCCTTCTTCACATTTTCATTTCTCCATATGAAGTAAACATATGAGTATCCGTACTAGGAATTCAACTCCTTATTTTGATTCTGATTACGGATTAGTACACATGCCACAAATAGAAAGTGGTGTGTAATAAAGGACGAAATAAACTTGCATGTGCGTGAGTTTTGAGCACGTGTGGTGTTCTTATACATTAATGACTATTTTATTTTATTTTTCAGAAATTCAAGAACATGCTATGTTCTCCCTTGTTTCCTTCAAATCTTCTCTCTAGTCTGTTTCACAAATTCAATAATGACTATTTTTTTTTTCTGGTTTATTCAAACTTGCTTGTTATTCATCATTCACGAACACGCTCTATTCTCTATTTGCCTTCTTCAAAAATTATATCTTTGTCTTCTTCAACCACTCTTTCTTTGTTCTCATCTAAATCTTTTCAATTCGTCAATCTTTCTCCCCTCCCCAGATCAAGAAGCAATTCTCTTCTCCCTTGTATCCATCAAATCATTTCGATTCATCATATCTTTAATCCAATGAAAATCATAAGTTCTTTCCTTTGACACCATGTCCAAGATAATCCCAAGGAAAATGCGTATTCTTGACTATATTTTTGAAAAGGAAGAGGGACCAGAACAACCTATCGTTTAGTCTCAGAAGAAAAGGGCAATGACTTTTCACCATGTGGTATGTATCTATCTCGAGAATCCTAAGTGTGCCTCTTTCATTTTGAAGGTGAAAGAGGATGAGATCCATCCGGAGGACATCACAACTGCTCCTAACTACCATATGACTG